TTATTCACCACTGTACCTTCAACACCTAGAACAGTGCCCAGTACATGGCAACCACAAATGTTTACTGAATGAATAAATGAATGAATATATAAATAGATGAGTTTCAAAAGATGGTGAATATGCTCACCCCAGCAAGTGTAAGAGTAGTATGTACACAGCCTATCACCAATTTACATAATAAAGTTGCTAAAGAATCAATAAAATAATACTTTAATTACCTGTACTGGGCTGTCCTCGAGGATCACAGTAATTCTCTGTAGTCATGAAAATAACTGCCAATCCAATTTCTGCTTCAGGAATAGGTCTAAGACCCTGCCTATTAGAATAAAATAGTCTGAGTATGATAATATATTAAAACAACAACTTTTTAGTTAAAGATCTCAACTGGCTTTAATACAATTCTAGAATCAGGCAACATATCGTTCCATATAGTAAAGTAAGTTTTCCAATAAGCTGAGCAAAAGAGGTTAAAATAACTTTTATTAAGACAATGTCAAGCTGAATCAACCTTTCTTTTTTCTACCAGAGATATCCTAATGGTATAGACAGAACTTCAAATACACAGGGTACTAGTTTACTCACTGGGACAATGTTACATTAGGCAAGTCCAGCACCTTTTAGTAACTCAGTTAACTTCATCTGTAAAACAAGGAGCTACAGTAAAGGATATAGATCATTCTAGTTCTAAAATTCTATAATTTTCAGAATAAAAAGAAAAAAGTAATAACCAGATGAAACAATAAAAGACTTTCATATATAAGCAAATGTATGATTACTATCGAAAATATGTATGATAAAACTTAAAAGAGAAAAAGAAGAGTGGGGCAAGGGGAGAGAATTACAAAGAACTATACATAAGCTATACCTGTAAACATATTATAACTTTTAGTAAATCAAATAATTTTACCAAATTTACATGTATTTAGGAATCTTATTAGGGGAATCTTATGGTAAACATATTTTCTGTTATTCTGTAATACGACTGATTTTATAAAACAAAGACAATTTAAGATAATTTAACAATAATGCTATATAGAAACTACACCTCAAATTTTAACAAAGAGCTAC